CTCAGGGACACCATGTGCTACCCAGAGAGTGTCCTATGTGTAGACACATGTAAATAAAAGAGTTGTTGACTGGCACGTGGTGGCTCACGCCTGTAATCCCAGCACTTTGGGAAGCCAAGGTGGGTGGATCACCTGAGGTCAGGAGTTCGAGACCAGCCTGGCTAACATGGTGAAACCCTGTTTCTACTCAAAATACAAAAAATTAGCCGGGTGTGGTGGCAGGTGCCTGTAATCCCAGCTACTCAGGAGGCTGAGGCAGGAGAATCGCTTGAACCTGGGAGATGGAAGTTGCAGTGAGCTGAGATTGTGCCACTGCACTCCAGCTTGGGCAACAAGAGTGAAGCTCTGTCTCAAAAAAAAAAAAAAAAAAAAAAAAGAGTTGTTAATATACCTATTCATTTCACTGCCATGGTATAGGGAAAAGAATGGGCTTTGGAGCCTTAAGGACCTCAGATTGAATCCTGACTCTGCTACTCTCAGGCTGGGTGCAAGTCACAAACCTGTCTGTGCTTCATTTCCACAAGTATGAGTTAGGAAAGATAACCAAGCTAACAGCTATAGAATGCTTACTATGTGCTGGGCACTGTTCTTTTTATATATTAAATCATGTAATTTAAAAAAATTAATAAATACAAGGCCGGGCACAATGGCTCATGCCTGTAATTGCAGCACTTTGGGAGGCCAAGGTGGGTGGATCACCTGAGGCCAGGAGTTTGAGACCAGCCTGGTCAACATGATGAAACCCCATCTCTACTAAAAATACTAAAATCAGCCAGGTGTGGTGGCACATGCCTGCAATCCCAGCTACTTGGGAGGCTGAGGCATGAGAATCACTTGAACCTGGGAGTCAGAGATTGCAGTGCGCTGAGATCACAGCACTGCACTCCAGCCTGGGTGGCAGAGTGAGACTTTGTCTCAAAATAGTAATAATAATAAATATTATTTTAAAAATCAGTTTAAGTTCACAGCCAAATTGCAAAGAAAGTACAGAGATTTCCCATCTGCCCCCTGCCCCCACACATGCACAGCCTTCCCCGTGATCACACTCTTCACCAGAGTTGTACACTTGTTATAACTGATGAACCTGCCTTGACACATCAGTATCCCCCAGTCCATGGTCCACATTAGGATTCATTCTTGGTGTTGTACATTCTGTGGGTTTTGACAAACGCATGTATTCAACATTGCGGTATCATACAGAAGAGTTTCACTGCCCTAAAAATCCTCTGTGCTTTGCATTTTCATCCCTCCCTCGACCTTAATCCATGGCACCACTAACTTTTTATTGTCTCCATAGTTTTGCCTTTTGCAGAATGCCATATAGTTGGAATCATACAATATGTAGCCTTTTCAGATCAGCTTCTTTCACTTATTAATATACATTGGAGTTTCCTCCATGTCTTTTCATGGCTTGATAGCTCATTTCTTTTTTAGTGCCACATAATATGCCATTGTCTGGATGTACCATAGGTTATTTATCAATTTCCCTACTGAAGTTCATCTTGGTTGCTTCCAAGTTTTGGCAATTATGAATAAAGTTGCTGTAAACATCAATGTGCAGGATCAATGTGTGGACATAAGTTTTCAATTCATTTGGATAAATACCAAGGAGTGGGATTGTTGGATTGTATGGTAAGAGTATGTTTCATTTTCTTTTCTTTTTTCTTTTTTTTTTTTTTTCGAGACGGAGTCTCGCTCTGTCGCCCAGGCTGGAGTGCAGTGGCCGGATCTCAGCTCACTGCAAGCTCCGCCTCCTGGGTTTACGCCATTCTCCTGCCTCAGCCTCCCGAGTAGCTGGGACTACAGGCGCCGGCCACCTCCCCCGGCTAGTTTTTTTGTATTTTTTAGTAGACACGGGGTTTCACCGTGTTATCCAGGATGGTCTCCATCTCCTGACCTCGTGATCCGTCCGTCTCGGCCTCCCAAAGTGCTGGGATTACAGGCTTGAGCCACCGTGCCCAGCCTATGTTTCATTTTCGAAGAAACCACCAAACTGTCTTTCAAAGTGGCTATACCATTTTGCACTGCTACCAGCAGTGAATGGGAGTTGCTGTTGCTCTACATTCTTGCTAGCATTTGGAGTTGTTGGCGTTTTGGATTTTGGCCAAAATCCAAATTTAGGTAAATAAGGTAGTTTTATCTCATGGTTATCTTAATTTGCTATTCTCTTTTATTTTTTATTTATTATTATTTTTTTGAGACGGAGTCTTGCTCTGTTGCCCAGGCTGGAGTGCAGTGGCACAATCTCGGTTCACTGCACCCTCTGCCTCCTGGGTTCAAGTGATTCTCCTGCCTCAGTCTCCTGAGTAGCTGGGACTACAGGCACGTGCCACCACCCCCAGCTAATTTTTTGTATTTTTAGTAGAGACAGAGTTTCACCCTGTTAGCCAGGATGGTCTCGATCTCCTGATCTCGTGATTTGCCCGCCTCAGCCTCCCAAAGTGCTGGGATTACAGGCGTGAGCCACCGCACCTGGCTTTAATTTGCTATTCTCTTATGACATACAATGTTGAGTATCTTTTCTTTTGCTTACTGCTATCTGTATATCTTCTTTGGTAAGGTGTCTGATTAGGTTTTTTGCCCATTTCTAAACAGGGTGGTTCATTTTCTTATTGTTAAGTTTTTAACTCTTTGCATATTTTGGATAACAATCCTTTATCAGATGTCTTTTGCATATATTTTATCCCAGTTGTGGCTTGTCTTCTCATTCTTTTGACAGTCTTTTGCAGAGCAGACATTTTTAATTTTAATGAAGCCCAGCTTATCAGCTCTTTCTTTCATGGTGCCTTTGGTGTTGTATCTAAAGAGTCATTATGATACTCAAGGTCATCTAGGTTTTCTCCTATGTTATCCTCTAGGAGACAGTTTTATAGTTTTGTGTTTTACATTTAGGTGTATCATCTATTCTGAGTTAATTTTTGTGATGGGTATAGGGTCTGTGTCTAGACCCCTTTTTTTTTTTTGCATGTGGATGTCCAGTTTGTTGAAAAGCCCCATGTGTTGAAAAGACTAAGCTTATTTAATTTTCAAAACAAATTTTGAGGGAGGGAGTCACTGTAATTATCCCAATTTTTTGGATGAACAAAGTGAAGCACAGAGAGGTTTTATAAATCATCCAGAGTAACACAGCTAGTACTTGACAGAACTGAGATTTGAACCCAGGCAATCCAGCTCCAGAGTCCATGCACTCAACCCCTATCTATAATAATAATGTCTCCCTCATAGGTTCATTGTGAGGAATAGAGATAGTGTCCAGTATATAGTAGGTACTCAGGAAACACTAATGATAGTCATTGTCCTATCTAGCCTGCAAGGTTCCCCTCAAATGTCATGTTTTTGGGTTTTTGGTTTTTTGTGTTTTTTTTTCTTTTTTGGAGACAGAGTCTTGCTCTGTCGCCCAGGCTGAAGTACAGTGGTGCAATCTCAGCTCACTGCAACCTCTGCTCCCCGGGTTCAAGAGATTCTCCTGCCTCAGTCTCCCAAGTAGCTGGGATTACAGACGTGTACTACCATGCCTGGTTAATTTTTTGTACTTTTAGTACAGATGGGGTTTCACCATTTAGTAGAGATGGGGGTTCAAGGCCAGGCTGGTCTTGAATGCTGGCCTCAAGGGATCTGCCCGACTCAGCCTCCCAAAGTGCTGGAATTACAGGCATGAGCCACCATGCCCGGCCTCAAATGTCATGTTTTTGAAGCTGCTTTTCTCACTCCTCAAGCCAAATAATCCTCCCGTCATAGCACCTATCTCATCATCCAAGTTATGCCAGCATGGTGAACCCTGCTACTGTCACAGCTCAGCTCTACCTGTTCCCCATGTGATTTCCCTGGAGATATGCCATGTCTGATCTCCTTCTGTATCACTCCAAATGCCTGGGGCTGCACTTGGCACTTAGCAGGCAGTTTGTCAAATTGAGTTTGAGTTGCACGTTATTCCAAAATGTGTATCCCACCTGGGTCTATTCCTCAGGAACTTCTAACTCTTACTCAACTCTTTGCTTCTGAGCCTTCTCGCTCCAGCCCTCCCTGGTCTGTCAGGTTGGGCTGCCCTTGCCTGGAGAAGTTCCTGTTTGGGCTGTCTAGGGAAGCAGCTGCCTTTGTCTGCTACACCCTTCTTCCTGCACCACCCCACTCAGTTTCTTCCACATTCTGGCGCACCCCACTCCAGCATGGACACTGCCCAGAAAAGTGTCTCCGTTTCTTTCTCTCTCCAAACTCCAGACATAGCACCTATCTTGGAGGCCTGGTATCTAGATGTCCCTTGGCCTCTCCTAGGAAGTATAAACTGTCTTCTTGGTGGGTAGAGCAGCTCACTTGATATTTACAGCACACGGTGGACCCAGGGACAGACTGCACTCCAAAGAGTGAAAGTGTTAATCTTGGCATTGGTGAACTCCTTCAGGGAGTGAGTGGCACTTACAGCCATGGCTCCCGGGCCCCGTACGCCTCTTGATCCACTCCACTTTGAGACAGGGCTCTATCAGACCAAGCTATTGAGAGTCTGTTTTTACCTTAGGGAGTGCATTCTGGCAGTGCCATCTGGGACATGGAAGGCAGTAACTGGTCTGGACTGAGCCTGGGGCACCATCCAGCAGGGCCCTGTGTGTGCCTCTGCAGAGCCACCTTGGGAAGAGTTGGCCAGTAAGACTTAATTGCTTCCTCTAGACAGCACTACCTTGAACACAGCCTGCAGAGTTCGGTGCCTGCCTTGGACAGCCCCTCTTCTATACGTTCATCATGACCCTGGTGCCTGTCCTGGGCAGTGCCACTCAGCCCCTTTCGGACCCTTTTCGGACAGCCTCCAGTGCCCAGTGCAGACAGAAACTCCAGGCAGGGCCTCTCTCAGACACAGCGAGAGGGGCTTCAGAGCCCACTGCGGACGGAGGCTGCTAGGGCAGCGCCCGGCCCGCCTGGCCCACGTCTGGCGGCGCGCACTGGTGCTGCCAGGCAGGCCGGGCGTTTATCCCCAGAGCAGCCAGCAGGGAGCTCCCTTTCGGCTCGGCTGGCGCGGTCGCTGGGGGCGGCGCTGAGCTGCGCCGCGCTGCGCTCTGCTCCAGCCCCGACCGGGCCGAGGCTGCTGGATGCCGCGTCTCCGCTTCTGCTGCCTGCCGGGCGGGCTCCGGTGGCCGGTGAGTGCGGGTCGGCGGCGGCTGCCGCTCGGTGGCGGGCCCGGCCCGGTGGGGCGGCGGGGCGGGCTCCGGCCGGGCGGGCGGGCGGGCGGGCGGCGGGGCCCGGCGGCTCCTCCTCCTCCCCTGTCCCCTGGAAGCAGCGGCCCGGACTCCCGGCTCCCGTCCCTGGCGGCGCCGTGGAGCTCGACGCCCGGGGGTGGGGGCCGACCGGGAGCGGCGGGGAAGGGGGACCACCGGCCCTTCCAGCCAACCTGGGGGGCGCAGGGAGGCAGGACAGGGTGGCCTTCAGTGTGGGGGGATTTGGCGCTTGGAGGCGCCCAGGTGGCCCGGAGCTGCGGGGTGCGGGCTGCAGCCTCGGGGGTGGGGGGACTTCTCTTGCCCCGGCCCAGGCCCCCCGATGGAGCGAGCGAGCGAGCGGGGCGCTGAGGAAGGCAGCGGGGAAAGGGAGCACCTCTACCCAGCCTTTTATCCCTCCCAGCGGCCTTCACTCTTTCACTGCCGGGCCGACTGCGGGCTCCTCTCAAAGGAGCAGCTGCTAGACAGCTGGCAAAACAATAGAGACCCCGCTTCCCTGGGCCCCCTCCTCTTGGGACAGAAGATGAGGCGATGAATGGTGGCAGGCTTTGGGGATTAGGGAGTGCAGGCTGTACCCTGCGACTGAATGCTCACCTCACCTTTCCCTGCAGAGGGGTGGGGTGCGTGTGGGAAGGTCGGACAAGCTGCCCCAGGCCTCTGGAGAGACCGCCCCAACGCCCCGCCCTGCTAACCTGTCATGCCAGTTGTTTCGCCAATGGGAAGGGGAGGTGGTAGGGGTGGCTGCCCCCTCACCCTGCCCCTTGTTAGTGGGGGTGCTCTCCTTGGTCCCAAGCCTGGCCAGGAGTGTGGGTCATGTTCCTGGGTGCGATAAGGCCCGCAGGGACAGGCCAGGCATTGGGGCTTTGTTGTGGGGGTGGAGATGGGGGAGTTGCCCTACTGCAAGGCACATGTGTCTTACTGATTAGTTGGAAAGGTTGCGGCCAGAATGAGCCAGAGGTGGGGGGTGGGGGAGATGGGGAGGAAGACAGCCAGTTTGTTTTTGAGCCCGTATTCGTTTTGCCTGGCCACTTGACCAATGGGGCACGTGTTTGGCGCTGGCCGCATAGTGTGTGTTTGTGTGGGGAGGGCTCGGGGAATGCTTCCTGAGAGGGACTGTCCTGGTTAAGGCCTTCATGCCCTCAGATGGCCACCCAGAATTAAAGAATTGGGTTCCCTCCCCGCTTCACCCTGCCAATGACTTGGGCTAGTTAGTGTGTGTTCGTCTTGTCTTTTGGAGCCCCTGGCGTGTCTGTGGCCGAGAAGACCTCATCAGTGCCCCTGTGGCGAGTGAGCTCTGGGAATTGTGTATGCACTGGGGCGCGCTGGAAGGGAGGGGAGGCCACTTGGATGATTAAGAGCGAGATCAGGCCGGGCGCGGTGGCTCACACCTGTAATCCCAGCACTTTGGGAGGCCAAGGCAGGCGGATCACCTGAGGTCAGGAGTTGGAGACCAACCTCAACATGGATAAACCCCGTCTCTACTAAAAATACAAAATTAGCCGGGCGTGGTGGCGTGTGCCTGTAATCCTAGCTACTTGGGAGGCTGAGGCAGGAGAATTGCTTGAGCCTGGGAGGCGGAGGTTGTGGTGAGCTGAGATCGCGCCATTGCACTCCAGCCTGGGCAACAAGAGTGAAACTCTGTCTCAAAAAAAAAAAAAAAAAAAAAAAAAGCAAGATCATCTGAGGAGGACGGTGAGTACAGAGCCCATTGAATCAAGCTGCCTTTCCCTTGTGCTTTGGAGCCCTTTTCTTGAGCAGATTGGTGCCCCGTTGTCGTAGCAACAGGCCTGGCCTAATGTTCCCCACCCTTTTTAGTTCAGGGGCTACTTTCTATTTGGGGATATTGAAAGTTGCTCTCCTGAGGTCTCTGGCTTCCTGACAAGCCTCACTGGCTCTTTGTCCATGGCTTCCCACCTCCTCAGCTTCCCCTCTGTTTTTTTGTGATGAAGGCTTTCCAGGAAACATCCTCCTGGTTTCTGGATTTGACAGACGGGTTATATATAGCCTCGGGTGGAGGTGTGCTTGTCCATTTTGGGTTGAGGACATCGGGGTTGTGGCCTCAATTCCAGGAAAACCATGGCTTTGGGGGCAGCTATTGTATTGAGGGGATTAGGGGAATGAGAAGGGTTGTAGGTGGGGGTGGAGGGTGGGCATGGGAGGGGCCACAGGCTGGTGGTCACTTACTTTGGGAGCTTTGAACTTTGAACAGCTGATGACCTGGTGCCTGGTAGCTCTGAGTGTCTAGTTTGTTTACTCTCTCCTGGCCTGGCCCAGGTGCTAGAGTGTGTGCCTGAGGACTTCCTCCTGCGCCCCAGACTTTCCTCATGTGGGTTATGCCCTTCCTGACTCCCACCTGGTCTCTCAGCCTCACTCCTGGGCCGTCTGGGTAGCCAGCCAGTTCCCTGGAGGCCCCCTCACTGGCCCTGGTAGTGGCTGTTCATTGAGGAGTGCATGTGTCTTCAGAAACTAGGCCTGAAAACTCTGGACCCCCCAGAGGCAGGTACCTAAAGGTGGACTGGGTGGGGCAGAACTGGGGCTCCTGTGAAAGGGAGAATCCACCCTGCTGAGGTGGAGCTGGGAGTTGTTGGAACTCAGGAAGCCTTCATCCGGACTTGGTGTGTCACAGGTCTCCAGGGCAGCAGGGTTGTTCTTACTCCTTGAAAGTAGAGACCTCCCCAGCCAGATCCTCTCACCTGGAGTGGACGCCACAGGCAAGAACCAGAGCATCCATGTGAGCTGGGTTTTGTTGGTGGCCCGGGGTCCCAGGCCTGAGTATGGTGGGAAAACCGAGGGGCTCTAGCTGGTTGTAGTTTAAAGGTTTGGGGCAGTAGGAGGGCCCAGCCCACTGTCTGCTGTAATTGACAGGTTCCCACAGGACTTGGGATTGGTAGGGGGCTTGATGGAGTTTAAGTTCTGCTTTAGGGTCAGACCTCTGGGTGCTTTAAGATCTGCACACCCCACCCCTATCACCTTTTTTCCCCCCTAGCATTTTCCAAGGTGGCTTGAATGAGAGGAGGTGGGGAGGTGCTGAGGTAGGAGCTGGATTGGGAGAGGTGTTGAGCAGACCTGGTGAGCCTCCACTCCCCACCTTCACTTCCCTGTCCTTCTCTTGAAGTAGGAATTGCATGCAGGGCTTGTAAAATGTCAATTTCCCTTGACATTTCAAACTTTAGAGTCAGGAAGCAGTTTTGGTTGTTGGACTGATGATTTTACAGGACCCAGGGCCCTTTCTCTCTGCCAAGTACTTTATCATCACTTACAAGTGATTATTGTGATTATTCTCTGATATTCAGAGAGGTTGGATGATGGGCTGAAGGTCACACAGCAAGTCGGAGGTAGAGCGGGATTACAACCTGGAGTGTGTGGTTGAGCAGAATACCTCCCCAGCAGAGGCTGAGGGCCAAGTCTGAGCTCTCAGGCTCTTGAAGATACTGTAGCTGAAATAATGAAGGCCTAGAGAGGGGAGGGGACTTGCTCAAGGTCACACGGAAGGGCTATTAGCTGAGCTGAGCGACCGACGGTGCACTTGGAAGAGCAGCAGGGGACCTGGCGGGGCCGCAGGAGCTCTCTCCCCCTTGCGTTCGTCCCTTGCCCGCCGGATTGCTGCGTTCCGGGGGAGATGGGATCGCAGCGGGAAGCGCCGCGGGCGGTTGCGCCGGCCCAGCCACCGGGAAACGCCGAGGGCCGCCCGGCTCACCGGGCGGCGGCGGGAGGGCCGGCTGATGTCACGTGAGAAGCGTGCAGTCGGAGTGAGGGAGCACACCTGGAGCCAGATAAGCTCCGTGTGACCTGGCAGGGAGTCACCCGGCACTGCGGAGCTCAGCACAGCCAGCCGGGAGGAGGCTCACCCTGGAGCGCGCGGCCAGGCCAGGTGCTGGCGACCCCGCCGGCCGCCGCTACAACCCTCGGCGCCGGGCAGAGCCGGGATGGGGGCCCCGGGGCTGGAGGAAACGGCCACTCAGGGAGGTCAGAGGTCAAGGGAGAGAGGCCGGCTCTCCCGGGAAAGTATTTCCTTTGTATTTATTTATGAGTGTGGTGTGGGGGTAGGAGGACTGACCTAAGAATCTATCCGCCACAGCCAAGTCTGGGCACCCTTGTCTTGGGACTCTAACGTTATAGTTTCCATTTCCTGGGTTTTTTTTTTTTTTTCTTTCTTTCTTTCTTTTGCTAGCTGCAGGGTGACCCATTTAAACGTGTCCCCACTTACAGCCACAAGACACCAGTGAGCTCTATTTTAACTAAGTCCCCTAAGCCACCGAAACTTTTTCAAGACATGAAGGCAATCCTTAAACTGACTATTACCCTGTTTGCAGCTTTACTGTTAGTGGATTACCTACTAGTTTGTCCAGACATTTATTTTAGTCTGGAAAAAAGTTGAATCATTAGGTAGAAAGCTAAAGCGTTACTAAAGTGTTACCCTTCTTCTCCCCTACTCTGCAGAGATGACCACTGATATTTTTTGATCGAATTTTTCCAGACTTGCTGCTTTTTTTGAGGAGTCTTTCTCTGTTGCCGGCGCTGGAGTGCAGTGGCCTGATCTCGGCTCACTGCAAACTCCGCCTCCCGGGTTCAGGCGATTCTCTGCCTCAGCCTCCGGAGTAGCTGGGATTACAGGCACCCACCACCACGCCCGGCTACTTTTTTGTATTTTTAGTAGAGACGGGGTTTCACCATCTTGGCCGGGCTGGTCTTGAACCCCTGACCTCGTCATCCACCTGCCTCGTCCTCCCAAAGTGCTGGGATTACAGGCATGAGCCACCGCACCTGGCCAGACTGCTTTTTAAAAGCTTATTATATTTAAAAAAAAAAAAAGCTTATTATATATATTTTAGGCATTATGTATGTTTATAGTTTAATATATGTTATATAAAATATCATCTTATATAACTATTTTAAAATTTCCTGTAGGAGGCCAGACGCAGTGG